ACAGTACCTCGAAGAAAAGCCCGTGGTGTTTTCTCTAGAGCAACGCTGGCCTTGAGTGCAGTAGGGTTTGAGCGAAAAAGAAACAAGCTAACAACATCCATCTGACAGCTGTGTTTAAAAATACAAAGTCAAACACTAGTTTTGATTAAATATCTTTTTCTACCCTTTCTAAAACAGTTCCAGAACTACTGCTAAATATCCCATGGGCCAAGTAATTCCCGTTGCTGGGATGCCCAGAGCGGCTCGTGACCAGGCAGCAGCAGTGCAGTCTTCCCCCGCCTCCAGGCTCCAGCTTTGTGTGTGGGGCACGGTGCCTGCACTTCTGCAGGCATCTTCATTGCTTGGCCTATGTCCTCAGACTCTGGCTGGCTTTCTCTTTTTCCTTTTCACCCTCTAAAGTAACCTGTCACTTGGCTTTGATGTGGTGGGGTCATTGTAATAAATGTGCTCACGTTCCCCTCCCTTGCCCTTTGCCTTGTTCTGCCCCTACTCCTCCCCCTTCCTCTTGCAGGTAGGTGTGTGCAGAGGGTATGGACGTGCAGTTAAGTGCAGATGCGTGATCCTGACCTGGTGCTGCCTGCAGTGGGTTTGGTGGTTTATCAGGCAGCAAGCACAACAGCCTGACAACCGTCTGGAAGCCTTTGCCTGCGGAGGTGCAGCAGTTTCCATGGCAGCACAGAGGCCCTCTAGAGACAGCCGCATTTCGGGTCAGGTGCCTCCAGGTTTTTACCCCAGGCTAGAGCCTGGTTTTGAGAGCTAAAAACATGCCTAGGAACAGAGGGTGAAGGCTGGAAGGAGAAATTTGACTGTACGTATTGCTTGAGTGCTTGTGACCTTATCCTGCACCAAAATGTTAGTAATTCTCCCCAGAAGCCCTTACGTATCTTCAGAATCTGTCTTCTCCACCTTCCTAAGGCCTTGATTGCTTTTGTTCAAATTAAAATGCAAATTGTGGCTTGTTTTCAGGCCATGCAGTGATTCCAATCACATCAAACAAAACACTGTTTTCAAACACATTTTTGCTACCCAGGTTTTTATCCTTCCTGCTAGTTTTTCCCAATGCTGAACCATATAGATCTCATTTCCAGATTCCCATTTTGCTCTAAGGCTCTGGCAGCAGGAGCAGAGGTGTAGGGACAATGGAATGACTCTGCAGTAAGCTGAGATGTCTTTACTATTGAGACTACTACAGGCTTTACCTAGATGTGTTTTTCAGGTTTATAAAAACAAAGTTGAAGTAAAATATTTCTAGCCCTTATGATTGTAGAGAAAAAGCTTGAAAACCATGGTTGAAGTTCTTCCCAAAAGCTCAGAAGACAGACAGTGGTGAAAAAGAATTCCATATTTCTTCTGCAAACATTTAAACATCAGGATTTATGAAAACTTGACAGTACTCTTACAGAATACAACAATATTTTGGAGGTATTTTATAAATATTTGCAGTCCTAGTCTGTAGACTGTCACAGACATAAACACAATCTTCAAAAAGCAACATTCTCTCCAATATTTTATCCCAAACAAAGGGAAATAAAGTGTAAACAAGCCAGTGCCTTTGTTTCCTCTGCCTCTAAATGAAAGCAAGCATTGCTCTTGTTCCACTCTAAGTAACACTGTGGTTAAGGTGAAGAGAAACAAAACGTATTCCCAAACAGCGTACTGGCTCCCCAAGCACTAATGCTGTAGGTAACCCTCAGGTCCACTTCTAGCACTGTAGACTCAATTGCTCTAATCTCAGGATAAAATAAGTACAATAAGTGAAGCATTGTAGAAGCATCCTGTGTACAGCGATGGCTTGGTAGTCCAGCACAGGAAAAACGCGTGGTTAGTTTACGTGCTTGTTCAGTGTGCCTGCTGTGTAAAGGTGCTGGAAGGCCTGCTTCTTCCTGCACCAGTTACTTTCTCCTTATCGAAGTAGAAGATTCCAGTCAGAGAATAGTGCCAACCAAGCCACTTGTTTTAGAGAAACCTGGTTTATATCATAGATTTCAGTAAAAAACAACCAACCAACCAAAAGCCTTATTTGGGGCAATCATGAAGTTACACTACTGCCTATAATATTGAAAGCAGTGTTTTTTAGGGCAGTGCCAGTACTGTCTTGTGTTGCAGAGGCAACGGTCCTTAAATAACCTTTCCAGAGAGCTCTCCAGCTTTAACCTGGTCAGGCTTCATCCTGACAAACAGGTAGGCACGTGTGCCTCAGCTCGCAAGAGACACCTGCTTGGTATGCAGTATTGCAGCCAGGCTATTCCTGCCAGGATCTAAATAGGGATGGTGCAAACCCTGCTCTTCAGATGTCGTTTTCCAATAATATGTTGAATGGAAAAGCCCGGTTGCCTAGGTAACAAGCCAGAGACACTTAGCAAGGTTTGGTTTAGTTAATGAAATGATGAAAGGAAAAGGAGGCCGGGAGGAGCATACCCTGAGGAGAGGCCCTACAGTGCTGACCTGCCTGGCTTCTCCCCTGGAGAGAGAGGTTGTGTAACTCATAAATCTGTGGCTCAGGTTTGTCTGAGTGGATCTAATCCCCATACAGCCAGTTTGGTTTTGAAGAGTAAGATGCGAGCGTGGCCAAGTGGTTGCATGGCCGTGCGGTGCTTGAGAAGAAGAATGTGGTAGGAAGGGGCTAGCTGGAGACCAGCTCGTGTTGCAGACTCATGGAAGCAGTGTGGCTATAGAAACAGATCTTTTAAATCTGAAGAATAAGCTGTGTGCTGTCCCATCACAGACTGAAGGAACATCCTCGTTTGATTCAGACCTACACCACGTGGCAAGCGAGGTGGAGGCTTTCTCACTCCTGAAGAGAAGTGGGTGGCAGAAGTGCATGTGAAAATGGATTCTGTAAATGGCACACTGGAACTCCAAATGCTAGTAATTGCATCTCTTGCACACGCTGGGTGATCTGAAATCCATGGCACATGTGAAAGGAAACTAAGAAGCTGAGTGAAGCAAGAGGATACAGAACCTTTTCTTAACTCAGGTTTATTGATTTGGATACTAACAAAGGTTAGAACTATTTAAAAAATACTACCCTTACCAAAGATATTGGAGGTGACACTTTCTTCTCTGTACATAAGTGAGGGAACAACTAGCAAATTTAGCCAATACTGATTTCCTGCTTGCCTAGCTTGTAACAAGTGTGCTGCTTCCTAGTGTACAGTGAGAGGTCTGTAGCTTGGGCAAAGGGAGGGAAGATCAGTGAAGAAAGTCCTTCTGCAAAGTATTAGCATCTCCGTGAAGAACGGAACCCCCTAGTCGTGCAAAGCCCAGGCTCTGTAACACTTCCTTCTCTACCTCCTGCATTAAATAAGGACTAAGATGCATGCATCCTGTAGAGAGTTGCCATGGAGCTGGATTGTTTTAACTGGATTCTCATAATTTGTACTTTATCCTTATTTGGGTGAGAGTGTGTGGAGCTGACAGCGTATGAGATTTGCTCTGTGCCAAGTTTGCGGGGTTACTCTATCCATACAGTGCAACTTGGGAATTGGAAGCAGCCACGGATACGTTTTGGTTGTGGTTCAGTTGTGAAGGCCGGGCAGGGAAGCTGTTTCTTTGGTTTTGTCTAGGACAAGCTCACTTTTAAAATGGGAAGGAAAAAAAAAAGTCTTGTGGATATTACAGTAGTCTTCTAAAAATAGTGCAGATTTGTTAAATAATTCAGTGTTTCAAATACATGTTCTTTTTTTCTCACTCAAGGACATCCAACTGCGTTAGAGACTTTTCTGCTGCATAAATACAGGGCTTTTCAGATTTGTTGTGATGTGGAGCAAAACGTGGTGGTTTATTACTGGGCTTTTTTCCTTCTGTTGAAATACCTGGTCTGCCTTCAGGGCTCCGGTGCAAGTGGAAAGCTGGATTCTCCTGTTTCACTCATACTCCTGTGTTGTACTCCTTACTGGAAAGGCTTCCTCTAAAACAGACAAGAAGGGAGGCTATTTACAACCTGAAGCAAAGAACAAGAGGTGTGAAGATGTGTAAACATCTGACAAATATTTATTATTTTTAGTTGCTGTATCCTAAATTAAGGCTTGTCATGCTTTGAACATGGGAGTTCCCTCTCTGGTTTGTGTTTTCTAGGCAGTCTTTCCATACTGAGCCTCTCTTTTAAAGGTCACATAGGAAGGAGCACATGGAGTAGTAGGAGATACCTACTTAATAAAGTATTAAGGATATATATTTCTTAACGAGGTTAATTGGGTAGGTCCTGAATACAGGTTTGGAACTGTCTGTGCCCCTGCTGAGACCAATCTTGTGAAGGACTGGTGTGGTTTGGGGAAAATGACTGGTCTCTGATAACCAGTGAAGACATTTGAGATGTTTCATGGTGCTCCATTGTGTCAGAAATTGTCAAAAAAATCCTCTCTTGTCACATAGGGTCTCTAACAAGGTATATTTCTATACCTCAGGTGTTTTACTGGCTCAAGATAAGCAATCTCTAGGCACAAAGACATCAAAATTAAGTCTCGCTGCAAGAACATTGCATTTTATAATGCTCAGTGTGGTTTTTTTTTCCGAAGGATTCATTAACTGTTGAAAAGACGCAACTTTTATGGTCTTCGAATTGGAACGTAAATGAACAATGTTATATTTTTTTAACTAACCAGTTAAGTATCTATACCAGTTTGTGCACCATTAAATTTATAAAAAGTAATTGTGTGGAAATATATTTCTCCTTAACCATGGTAAACTAAAATACTTTCTCTTTCCTATTTCTGAGACTTTTTTCAATTAGAATGGCTTTTAGGTCCTTGCTAAAAGTGTAATATTGAATCTGCTCAGCTGATAGATAGATATTTTAATGCTATTAGTAAGCATTTAAATGGAATTATTGAATCTGATTTAGCCTTTAGTGAGATGTAGTTTTATGTAATATTCCGTAATGCTTTTTGAAACATTGACACCTTTTAATTAGGTTTATTTTGCTTTTAAAGGAGAAAAGGAGGGAAAACAGAAAGGATTTCAACATTCTTCATATGTTAACTCTCTCCTTTTTCTTGCAGGAAGTCCTGGCTGAGTAAAGTTGGAAGCCCAAGTTCTCGTATAGATCGAACAAATTTTTCCAATGAAAAGGAGATTTCCAAGCTTGACTTCTCAGGATTTAGCACTAGATACTGACTGAAGAAAACATCACTGAGCGCAGAACTGTGACATTTCTGCTGCATGAAATTCTCTGTGTCTCCATAAAATGTCATGAGAGCATGTGGATGCTTTCTGGGCTAGAGATAAATAGAAATGGTCTCTGGTCACATGGTTTAAGAATTCTTAGTTCCCCATTAGATATTTTACACCATGGATGTCAATATCTACTATCTAGATTGCCAAAATCTAATTTACTGCATCTTAAAAGCTAGATGAATGGTTAAAAGTGTCAGTGATTATTTGTGCATGGTGATGGAACCTAATCTTGACTCTAATTCATATTTTACACGCAAAATAATAAATTTATGTTCTACAGCAAAATAACTGCAGAACTGGAACACAGAGATTTCTTCTAACAGCTCTGTATTACAGATCATGTTATTTGTGATAATTGGTTAAGATATAGTGACAATTTAGAATAAGCATATGTTGTCTCAAACTAAGATTATCTAAACCTGCTCTGGCTTAAAATTCTCTGTAATAATGCAGATAAATTTGGGAGCAAGATGATGAAATGGATGGCCTCTCACCCCTTTCCTTGTCTACCTTCAGCTTACATCCACACTGACTATAGAGGATGTCTTCATCATTTTGCTTTTTTGATGTTCTTACTAAAGTTGAAGATTTCAGTTGTTTTCCTTATGGATGTGTATTTGCTCCTTAATTAATGTATGTTGGATCCTGATTCGATATGATACACCCACATGCATCATGTCAAGTATGGGAAAGGTCCTGAGAAACTTGAGTTACCTGCTTGCAATAAATATTGCACCAATCTTTGCAGTATTGGATGTCATTCTCATATATAGTGCTCTCTTCACAGGCCCCAAGGAGTCTGTCAGGGCTGGAACAGACCTATATCCTCACTTCCAGAGTGCTTGAGTCAGGATTAGTATGTACTGGAGGACTTGGGTTAGATCTCTGCTGTATGGGTGCGATCGTGCGATGGCGGAGGCTCATGCTGTAAGACCCGGTGAGAAGCGTGTAGTACATAAAGCGCCGTGATACTGCAGCAGCCTGGGCACATGGCCTCGGGTTGGCTCTGAGCCCGGGCAGAACCTGACTTTTCTGTACCTCTTCAAAGGGTAGATAGTGTCAATTTAGGCAACCGCCTCAAATCTGTGGTTCATTTTGTTTTGCTTTCCGTAAAGACCATTCTGTAACTTCAGCATTGTGTTTTTTCATCGAGGTGGAGCAAGGTGTGCTTGGAACGGTATTTCTACTGACTACCAGGTTTATTTTCACCGAGCCTTTGTATATTAAAACCTCCCTTCAATAATTTGCAGGAGTTATTTATAAACTGTTATAGTTCAAACTGCACTTGACTTCTGGGACTATACACAAGCCTCCTTTGAGAAAGGCATTGTCGGTTACGCTCGTTCGACTTAAACGGGAAATGGCAAAGTTCAAGTGCAGTGGTAGCTCAATAGCAGTTGCATCCTCTCTGAAAACTGCATCCTGCCCGTCCTAAGTAGTTTACATCTTCCTTGAAGCTACCTCGCAGAAGATCTTCCTTCAGTCAAAGGCATTTCCAGCCAAGTTGCTTTTCTGGTATTTTGAGCAACAGTGGTAAAGGAATCAGAAAACAAATGGGACATTGGATGCACAGGAAGAGGAGCAAAGATGAAGAAATCTGTATGTAACCATTTATCACTTATTGAAAACAAACCAACCAAACAAAAAAGTCTTTATGGGCACTACACCATGGATTTTAGAATGCTTTTCCTAACCAGGAAGTATTTCAGGAGGAGTGATTTTGAATATGGTATTAAGCAAATGTAATTCCTGCCATCTACAGCCCGTATACTGTAGGCTAGAGCTCTCGTTGAGTCTACGGCACAGAGTTTTTTTCTGTGTGTCTATGTATGATAAACCTCAGCCTCTGCTTTTGTTCTCATTTTGAGCCTATCTGATGAAAAGGTTGATTCTGGAATAAATCTACAGCCTCCTTCTTTGTTTGCGAGTCAGCGAAAGTGATGTTTTCTATTTTCAACATCCCCTTCCCTCACATCAGTGGTATGGCAAGAGGCAGAATGCATGCACAAGTTCTCCTGTGAGCTTAGCTCTGAGTTTTTGACATTATTCAAAACTAAAACACATGTACTTTGTCTTGTGCCATAATGTATTTAGCAATTTTTTAGTAGAGCTACCTAAACTGTGCATAGTATGCTTGTCATTCTTAGAGAAGTGAAGATTTTGCTGAGCAAGTAAGCATTACGGGTGCCGCTGTCCGTGCATGGTATCTGTCCTTGCTGCTGTTGCATCGCCGTGGTTTGTTCACGCCAGTGCCTGTCGTTAGTTAGGGTCCCGTGTTTGCTGGGGCATGTAGCCAGCTTGAGGAGTAACTTGTGTTATGCCCAGGGAGGTGTTTGATTTGCCCAGAGTGGTACCTGCTGTACTGGTGGGTAAATACAGGTTTGTGGGACTCTTGCCCAGGTGATCATCGGCCATAAGCGAATCTTACGCATCTCCTTGGGACATGCTGCACGCAGAATGGAGGCTTGCGCTGACCGCAACAAAGATCAGAGATTGAGGTTTGCAAGTAGCTTGCAGGAGATGGTGGTGTCAAAAGCACGTCAAAAAGAAGTTGTCTAGAAGACAGTGTGCCATTGTTGCTCTCCTGAAAAGGCTATTATAAGTGAACAGATACCAGTTTGTTTCTGATGACTTTTTCCAGGACAGATATTTGAAGGCTGTTTAAAGTAACTTCTGTTCTCTCTCTGAAAGATCCTTCAGATCGAGGCAGGATGCAGTCCTGCAGCCTGAGCAGGCCAAGACTTCATGGTGAGCCTGTGGCGTGGCAGGAGGTAGCTGTAACTTCTGTCGCTCAGCTTCCTGGGTCAGCTACTGAGGCTGGCCTGTGGGCCACGTAACTGGAGGGTTCTGAAGGTGGATGATAGGGCTTCTCAGAGGGATTGGATGAGTCTGGCAAGACACCTTCACATTTGGAGAGATCTGAGCGCTCTGTGGAATTTCATTGCTTGGAAATAGTTTTCCATGCTGCAAGTCGCGTGTTGCTGTGTTCCTGCAACTCGTGAAGCACTGTCTGGCACTGCATGCGTTGATCTTCCCCTTTTATTTAATGCTTAGAGTCTGTTAAAGTATCAGGAATCCAAAATCATCCGATTTGTGGAAATAGAGTGTGTGCAGAACATCAGAGTAGTGTCTCTAGATTTAATGAAAACATCATTGATTTTGAGGAGCCTAAGAATTCCAGTGGTAAGGTAGGAAAAAAAAAAAGGCAAGAACAGTTGGCTAATTAGACATCAGAACTAAGCTGTCACATTTATGTTTCTGCTGCATGCTAATATCGCTCAGTTATAACCGTAGAGATCCCTTATTTTTGTTTCAATTCAGTCTTCAGAAATGCAGCACAGCAAGAACAAATGATGTATAGGCCAGCTCCATTCTTGCTGTAGGTGAGAATCATTTCCACCTATCTAGAAAGGGTTGAGACTTCTGAAAGTCTGTTCCCACCGTTGTGAAGGTATTTGTGAATTCTGGACAATGCTGACTTTCTCGAAGGAAAATTTTATGCCTGACTTGTGTTCTACAGTAACTTAAGAAAGTTCAGGTCATTAAACCGTAAGACCAGACATGTTAATTAAAATTGGACCTTAACTCCTAAACAGCCAGGCAAGTTCAGGAACTTTGTTTTTATTTGATTAAAGAATGAAAAAATTAAATCTCTAACCAGTGGACAGAATAAGAGCATTCTGCTTCTTCAGCAATGATGTAATCTTGTATTGTGTTCTTTCTCTCAACACTGTGCTGGGTTCAGTCAGGGAAGAGTTAACTCTCTTTACCGTGGCTGCTAGGAAGCTGTGTTCCCAGATTTACGCTGAGAGAAGCACTGATAGTTTCTCAGCTGGTGCTGGGCAATTCCTACACCAGATTCAAGGTCTTTCTCCACTTCTGACCCTGCAGCTGCGTTCCCAGCTCTCGCTTTCTCACTACAGGCGGTGCAGGGGACACACAGTACAGGCAGGTGACGCAAACTGACCAAGGGAGTATTTCATTCCATAGTACGTCGTGCTCGGGGCAGAGGCGAGGAGGGGTTCTGGGAACCATTACTCTCTCCCTTACTCTCTTGCTCGTTTACTTCCTGGCACTTGCTAACACTCTCCTGACTCCTGCGTTAGCTGCTTTGGTGACTCCTGCGCTGGCTCATTGGTGAGGGAGTTGGTGGGTTGGTTTAGTTTTCCTGGTTGTGCTATCGCTGATGGGGTTCGCGCAGAATCTGCTGCAATGGCCCTCGGGCTGCAGCTCTCGGCCGGTGATCGCTCTCAGGCTGTGGCTCTCGGTCTCTCTGGGTCTGACTCACTACTCAGCACCTGGTTGTGCATTGGTCAGTGGGTGGTGAGCAACCGTATCATGATTGTGTCATATTGTATCATAGGTTTTATTTTCTATTATTTTGATTACTTAGTATTAATTAATTTAGATGTAATTAGTAAATAGTTCTTATCTCGATTTTACGAGCTTCCTTATTTCTTTTTCCTCTGATTCTTCCCCTCCCTTGGTGGAGGGGAGGGGGATTTGTGAGAGCGGCTTTGTGGTATTTTGCTAGCCAGAGGTAAACCATGACAAACACTAACAATGTTGTCATGCAGAATAGGAACGTGCTGCTGCATCTGCTCGCATCTGCTCACTCTTGAGCCTTCGTACAGGCAAAAGCACCATGGTACTTCCTGCCATACTTTCTCTTACGTGACACCAATCTGTCACTTTCTATTTTCTTGATATCCTCTGGACCTGCCTTTCTTGGCTTGCTTTCTTCTTGGAAAACTGTAGGCATGTTTGCTGCTGGAATCCTCTTACTAGACAGAATGAACTGGATTAGTCAAGAGAGCTTACTGATTAATGCATAGCTACATACTACGACCCGCTGAAAGTACTCTCATATGGAGGGAAGGCTGTAATGAAAGCTGATGAGGGCAAAAATGGGTGTATGTTGTGCTTGTAAGTCAGTTTAT